TGGAGCCTCATTAGAGGAAAAACTGAGCGATTGATCACCAGACGAAGAACATATCTGTCACTCAGATTAACGCTTTTCTCCAGATTTTCAAAACATAAGACAAACATCTGAAAGGTATTTGAAGCATTTAAATGTGATTTTGTTTGACAATATGTAGAGTCTAATCTCTGAGCCCAACAACTGCAGCATCTCTAACAATACCAATGGGTCTGCTGGGTGGAGTTAGCTCCACTATGACTGGAGATGCAATATGACTGAGGATATGTTATGAAACACAACAGGAAGAGAGAAAATGTTGATCTGATACAGTCTTCCCTCTGCGCTGTCATAATTTATGATTTCCAGCTCATAATTTCCATCTGTTCCGTCTGCGAGCGCAACAATCCCAAGTAAAAGGATATTTTTCAGTTCCTCAACAGCTACATATCTGAGGAATCAAGTTTGTTAAGATTCAGAGTCTCTGAGATGACTTCCTAGGAATCATCTACTTCCTGTTTATATATGAGTTCTTGGTTTTTGCCAAATCGTTTGCCTTCCCATCTGTTATCAGTCTGTCCAGAAAACAGATGCATAACCTTTAACCCCTCACATCACTCACCCTAATGATTATGTGTTCATCTCACTGGCTGTTCGACACACATTGATTTCTTTAAACTCCAGAGTTCTTCTCTGCTGTTTAAAACTCCTGGTTGATCATTTCGGATGTTGCTGAGTTATTATATTTCAAGAAGTAAAATCAATTAAAGCCGCTCGCGACGTCGTGCGGCCCTCGCATATATATATATATATATATATATACACATACATACGAAAGATAAATAGATTTCAAAAATTTTTTCCAATTTGTATCGGTTTAGAGTTCTAAAAGACTGTTTCGTTTCACTTTTCTTCTTCCAAACTCCTTTAATTAATAAATTTGGTTGTCTTATTTCTGTTTAGAGGCAGAAATAAAATTGTTAAATAGATGAACATGAGCACTGATGTCGTTGAACATGGGGGAAGCCGGAGCGCCCGGAGTGAACCCACACCTACACGGGGAGACATTTCCCCCTGTGCAGTCCTGGCTTTTTAATATTAAAATGTCCAATTAAAAATAACAGTAGCTCTTGTTCCAATTACTGCCAATCATCCGACCCATACATGCCCCTCCTTTTTAACTCTAATATACTGGAGACAATGTCTATGCTGGATGGACTTTACATCTGTGTTTGAACTTGTGCAGAAGTGATGGAGATGGAGCCTTTCTGAATCGCTTCCACAGAGAAATCTTTTTCTTGGGTCTTTCATCTTGTTCACAGTTCTTCTGCTCAGCTGACTCTTCTGCTGCTGGAGTCGTTTGGGTTACATCTTTGTGTAACGTTTGTTTTCAGGGGGGATGTTTTCTGGTTTTCCATAAGATCACTCTCCTTCTGTGGAAACTGCAGAAACAATACCGTTACTTCTTCTGTAACTTTGCGGGTTTTGTCTCCATTTGTCAAGAAGGTGTCTGGGAGGCTGTTGATCCTCAACTTTCTACAATAGAGATATCTTCCTGTTCACTGTTTTCTGCAGAAACTTCATCTTGTTGAGGGTCTCCAGCTCAGAGGAAGCTTTAATTGCTGCTTTTCTCTTGTTCTTCCGTTTGGATTTCTTTGAGGTTTCTGTCATCTTGCTGGTCCTTAGTTTGTTGGCTTGTCAAAAACCGTTTCTTCTGCAGTGATCTGTGAACTTGACGATCACTGTTTCAATATGACTGTATGTTTGAAACAGTCGGGGATCAGATAGCTGATCCCCGGCTGTTTCTGGTGCTGAAACTGCTTCTTGTTCACTCCTTTCCAGAAACCGTGTCAGTACTGAAGGTTTCCAAAGCAGAGACAGGTTCTTGCCGACTCTGTCCTGTTCTCACCTGTAGATCTCTGCACAGCTTGGTCTGCTGATCTGATGTCCATTCAGATCAGCCCTGTGTGCTTCAGAGGGCTGATCTCTTAGCAGGTGACATCTGGCTTCCAATACATCCATCAGTTTGCGTAGAAACTGTTTGATGGACTGGTTTCAGGTGACATCTGGTTTCCGACACATCTATCTGTGTGTGCACTGCAGCAGACTGGTAATGGACTGTTTTTGGGCGATCTTGTGAATCTGTTTGAGTTTGAACCGAAACCATTGAATTCTTTCTTCGTCTTGTTTCTGAGACTATTTTTCTTGTCAGGTCTTTCTGTTGTTTCAGTTTAGCATTTAGTTCCTGGTTTATGTCAAACGTCTTGTCAAGCTGTTTCATTAGGTACTTCTGAACTACTGTGTACAGAATGTACCAATTCAAACTCCATCAATTTGGCAAGACACGCACACTTTGGTTGACTTGTTTTCTTTTCAGAAGAAAGCAAGTCTGAATTTCAGTTGGACAGTCTCCATGAACATTTTCTGCTTTCTGATTACCAGGAACCTCAATTAAATTATCAGTTTTGATGTTTTCCTTGGGCGTACCCGTAGATGGACATTTGTCCTCTTTTTGTTCCAGCGTCTCCTGCGATTTGAAAATGGATAGCTCTTTGGTGACCAGTTGTGTCGTAGAAATCACCGTGTTGTCAGAATAACTTTCCTCTTTCAAGGAAGCTCCTTCGTCAAGTTCTTGGGTTGGCACTGAAACATTTTGGGTTTCAATGTTCTCAGCAAAAAAGCTGACATCTATGCGAGGCTCTGACTTGGGGAGCGTTTTCCAAAATGTCTTCTGACTTTGTTTTTCCTCCAAAGGACCATTACTGATGTCGCCGTTTTCAGTGAAAAACAAAAGATCTACGCACACATCTGCCTCAGGGAAAGATTTCCAAAAGTGACATCTTCTTGATGGTTTACTCTTTGACAACTGTTTGTCCCTTTTTTGATCCACTTTCTTCAGTGAATTGAAGATGTTTTGTTTTTCGGTGACCAGTTGTGTCATAGATGTCTCAGCTTCATCTTTGCAAATCTTCTTTAAGGAAATTTCCTGATCTTGTTCCTGTTCAGGCAGAGGTGTCCTGCTTTGTAACATTTTCAGTGGCAGACTTACTCTCCGGTGGCTGCCTGTCAACTTTTTGATCTACTGTCTCCAGTGCGTTGGTGATCGATTCATTTTCTTTGCCAAAATTTAATTGCAAGTTATTTTATAATGATAACAACAATGTGTCTCCAGTTATATGGCTGAACTGAAGGGGAAATTGTTTCATGGTTAGAAAAGTGCTGATATTCTAATGTCTTTCAAAATCAATATGAAAGAAGGTTCATTTTTATATTGCAATTGGCCAGGCTGGGCTTTGAACCCATAACCTTGGCATTATTAGCACCTCACCAGGTGAGCTAACTGCACATTCTCAATACTGAGTTGGCATTAAGTTAAAAAACACCGACACAATCTTCATGAAAGATTTCAGAATCGTGTTTGTATTCTAATGTTTTTCAAAATCAGTATGCTTAACGGTTTCATTTCAAGCCTTCTGCAAACTTGAACTGCTGATTTTCTGAAAGCTTTTATCTTTCCATTAGCCAGTATGGGGATTGAACCCACAACCTTGGCATTATTAGCACCATGTTCTGACCAGGTGAGCTCACCGACCACACATAATGCTGAGTTTACATTAATTTAAGAAAAACAGTATATGATCTTAACAGAAAACTTTAGGAATGTCATCATGTTCTAATGTTTTTCAAAATCAACATGTATGAAGGTATATTTTTCAGACTTTTTATTTTGAAGTGTTAATTTTATTTTTGAGCCATTTGTATTTTGGAGTGTTTATGGTGTGAAAGACTTTAGATTTCATTTGGTTAGTATGAGGATTGAACCCATGACCTCGTCATGTTGCCCATTAACACAAAGATCAGTATTTTTGTTGCCATAACAACAGCATTGTAAGATAAATTTAATGTATTTCACTTAATGTTGGTTTGAGCTTGTAAAAATAAACTGAATTAAAGCCGCTAGCGGCGGCCGTCGCAGCCAAGCGCCGCTCCGGCCAATTGGCCACTGCGGGGTACTAGCAACCGCCGCCCGCCACCACAGAAGCTCTCACGCAGTTTCCAGCACCTCCACCCGCACCGCGAAAGCAACGCCGCCCACGTTCCAACGCAGAAGCTGTTGCGCAGTTTCCACGCCCGTCCACCAGGCTGTACGCATTTATGCGTTCGGCGGAGCTTCCTGACGACGCACAAAACATGTGGTACAGATTGGTGGATTTAGCGAGGAGATATAGCTGGTGGATTAATGTAGGGGGCGCAGTGGAGTCAAATTACATTTCAATGCTGTTGAGCTCTTTAGAGGTCAACAAAGGTCATACATATCCAGTTTGGCACCAGTCGGATGATCCACGGATGATGTGTGATTTAGAGCCGATCGTATGCACATAGCGAAGAACTGCAGTTCGCCATTTCTACACCCCAATGCGGTTCGGTCACCAACCAGCATTCACAGAGTTCATCATATTGTCGTTTTATGTCATTTTCACATGATGAAACCCATATAAATGATAAAATAACAGTAAAACTCACAGCAGAAAAAACTGGTGACTGCCTTTGAAAAGTGGGCGGGGCTAGGATGATGTCATCAAGTGACCATGGAAATGTGTTCAGGGCTGTTCTCTAGAAAGACAGAGGAAGTCTGGTGCAGCTGTGATCTTGCATTTGGAAGTTATTTAATGTTGATGTCAATAGTTGATGAGAATAGTCAAAGTCTGACACTAAGCCACGCCCACATGCTTGATGTTAACTACAACTGAGATCTAAATGCAGTGCAACTTTAACGTTATCGTGAAATGAGTTAGGAAAATGGTGAAGGTTAAGATGTACCAGTTTAATAAACCGTACTGTTCAGTAATAAATGCACATTAACAGAGCACAGTTAACTTTCAGCACATTAGAACAATAGCACAGACTGAATCCCACCCATTAATTAGGTATTAATCACAGGAAGTGCTGCAACTAAATATTACAACCCCAATGGATCGGTAAAAAGATACTTAGCATTTTCTCAGAGCTCTTTGAAACGACATTTTAAACATCTTCTATACATAATAACAAACAAGGCTGAATGTATCAAACACACTATTCAGTTTCTTTAATTAGTAAAATGCTACTTTAGCTTTACAAATGTTGCAGGCCTGAGGAACTGGGTTAGCATCTTCCTCAGAATAACTCTTCCGAACATGACGGCTCCCAGAACCAGCATGAGGAAGGGGGGTCTCACCGCATCGCGAGTTACCAGTTTTTTAAACGAACGGTAATAAAACTGCTCCGGTCCAACAGTCCGTTCCGGCTCACCAGCGTGGTTCGGGTCTGCAGCTCCAAAAACCCAAGCAAAACGTTCAGCGTAGTCCGGTTCTGTGGCTCCATAAACCATGCAAAATGTTCAGAAAAAGTTAGCAGCTCCAACTGGTTAGCAAAAATAAATTACAGTCCACAGCAGAACAATCCGAACCTCGACCATGAACGGCCACGGCCGACAGACAGAACCTATTAGCTTCCAGTACAGTTCAGTCCATCACAACCAATCAAATTGCTTAAATTTGTTTTGGCCCTTGAATGACCAATAAGGTAGGAACGAGTGGAATTGATGCATTTACTTGTGGTAGTAAATAACAGTTATTAACAAAAACGCTACATTTACTCGTGTTTTATGCCAACAAACATTACCCGGGGGGTTACATATAACCTCCGAGTTTCATTTTGAAAATGTCACGGCAGACGCTCTCGCAAAGTTTTCACGCCCATCCGCCCGTCGATCTGTTTTGACATCTTAGCTGCTTTGTAATGCAAGTTGTTTCATTGGTGGAATAATACTGACCCCTACTGGCGAATTACTGAAATGGTTTGTAAACACTGCTGATGAAGGACGTCCTTTCTATTATTTCTAACCAAAATGAATGAATGTTTGTACTCTAACCCACAAAACAAAATTATAAAAGAAAAAACAAAAAAAACCGAAAACTTATAATAATGTATATTTAAATAATTAATATGTTAACCTGCATAACATAACCTATATTTCATGGGCTGCTGGGGTGTTAGCTGGGCTAAGGTGATGTCATCAAGTGACCATGTAAATGTGTTCTGTGCTGTTCTGTAGTGAGACATAGGAAGTGTGATGCAGCTGTAATCTTGCATTTGCAAGTTACTGAATCTTGATGTTTCACGGCAAATAGTCAAAGTTGGCCACGCCGCCACGCCCACCTGCTCCATCGAAGCTGGTCTGGGTTTGAATCCTCAACACACCAACATGAATTCTCTCTCTGGGCAGTTTCATGCTGATGAGGTCAAAGGGGTCAGATAGCAACCATTCACAGTAAAACATGACACTTCCTGTTCTCAGGGGGCGTGGCCTAAGTGATGTCATCATTCGACCATAGGGTATTCTAGGACACCCGATGATGATCAATCACAGTAACTTTGGTGCCTGTGTGAGTTTCTGTGTAGGAGATATAACAGTTTTTTTGTTTTTTTATGGCGAGTAGGTGAACTTTGACCCCTGCTAACCCCCCTTCAGCATGCTCAAAAACTCACCGTTTTGATAACTTTAGATGGGACATGCCTTATGAACAGACTGACCGAGTTTGAAGCAGATCAATCAAAATCCCTAGGAGGAGTTCGATCAAATGCGAAGGCTGTAAACGGCAAAAATGGGGTCAAAATCCAAACTTCAATCCAAAACGGCAAAACAAATCAATCAAATTAAATCCCAATTCAGGTCTCACTCAACATCATTCACATAAGGAGAATCTCTTACACAGCAGTTTGTTGAAATGTCAAATAAAAAGAAAACGGTCCGCAAGGCAGTGTCCAAAATTTCCAGGAAACAACAACGAAAAATGTCTCATCCATAACCGACTGTGAAGATGTGAGTGTTAACTGCCTACCACACAGCAGGCTGCAGCAGGCTGCAGCAGGGCGCAGCAGAATGCAGCAGGGCGCAGCAGGGCTGCAGCAGGGCGCAGCAGGCTGCAGCAGGGCGCAGCAGGCTGCAGCAGGGCGCAGCAGGCTGCAGCAGGGCGCAGCAGGCTGCAGCAGGGCGCAGCAGGCTGCAGCGGGCTGCAGTCATCAAGTCATTTTCCACTCTAGGAAAATTAAATGGGGAATCCACCTCAGGAACAATCCAGGATAAAAAATAAAAAATAAAAAACAAAACTGATCTGTCAACAGACAGGACCAGCAGAAATATAGAATCCTTAGATCATGTTTCATAACTGTTGTAAAATCCTTTTCCAAGCACAATAATAAAACATTGCATTTTACCCAAACTCAAAGGTTTACATTTGAATAACTAAGTAGTTCAAATAAAGATTATTATTTGACAACAACAATATAAGAACAAAAACCAAATGAAAAACACAAAATATGCTCATCATCTCAGCGCGGCACGTTCAGAACAAGAACACTAGACAGTATAACAGGCATATTTTTCAAGTTTTAACTTCAACAATATGAATTGAATAAAATAAAAATAGATTATTATTTAGGCTTTACCTCCATTTGAACTGAGACCAACTGCCACAAAGAGCCAACAGTTCCAACTGATCCTAACGGCAGAAAAACTGAAGTTCAGTTTCCTGAAGCCTACAATCCTTTCTAGCTTAGAAGTTGGACTATAAACAATAACTATTTACAAAAAGAGAGAGAAAAGTTTCTTCAAAGTCAATAAACAGCATTAAAATCATATCAAAAGACCCTCACTCTGTCTCATCAGGCTCGGATTCCCGCACAACCAACTCTGCCAATCCGGGAAAGAAGGCGGAGCCTCCGTGGCATTCCGCTCTCTGATTGGTCTAAACGTTCATGGAAACCAAACTTCCCATTGGCCAGGCAGACCACCCCGCCTACCCAAACTCTATTCCTTAAAGGGCTATCCCCACTTTATGTGGGTTACATTTGCACTATGACAGTAATAGTATATTTTGGGGAAATCTACAAGTGTTTGAGCGTCTTAGCTCTACAAGGGTCTCAAATTTCATGTGTCTATGATGAAGTGAGTGAATAGCTGGCCCAATTCCAGCCCTGAAACCACAACATGGTGTCACCTAAAGGAGAGCAGGCACAAAACGGACTGACTGAAAACTTTACATGGTTCATAAATAGAGTTCACCCTCTGAAGATGATCATTATCCTTTTCACAGCTGCTTTTAGTTTCTGCATCCATGTTGCGGTTTATCATGAATCAGCAGAAATATTGAGACAGAACCGGCTGAACTTTGCCTCTTTTCTCCTCCGGTGAAAACAGTTTGGATGAAAAACATTTCATATTTTTCCGATCATTTACATTCTTCTGACCATTTGGACTCAAGTGTTTATAACATTAAAATATTTTTATGGTCAGTTTTTCTGTTTTTGTAATAACTGCATAGCTGTTGAAATGAAAATCGCCACTGATCGCTTCCTTTAAATCTTTTCACTTTGTTTTCAATCATTTTCTTTTTCAGACAGGTTCAATATGCTTTCATGAACCAAAAAAATAAAAAATCATGACAATGTATCCTGCAGGTGTATTACGTTCCCTCAGTGCTGCGGCTTCGGGTGGCAGAAATGAAATGATTAGGCACCATGAGGCTCTCCATTATTCACAGTCGTCACAGGAAGTTTCTGGCTGTCTGACGAAGCAGCGATTCAGAATCACTAGGAGGGAAAGAAACTAGAAAAGTATTTCCATCAGCCTTTGACTCACTGCAGCTGCTGTTCCTGTCACTCTGGATGACAGACTCTAATCTCAGCACCTAGTGAGCAAATGTGTGGAGAGCTCTTTGCACAAAGCATCAGCTTCAAATATTGTGATTAATTCTTAGCGGTCCTGCAGAGGATCATTTTAGCTGAAAGTGGAGAACATTACAGAGCAGTTTCACTGTAAGGCATGGAGCGAACAGAATGTACTTGATCTCAACACATTTATACTCTCAAAGAAACATAACCTGTTCTTTCTGTTTGAGGAAAATCAAATGAGAAAACCAAAACACTTGATATGATTCAGGTGGATGCAGAAAAATGTAATTGTGGGGAAATTAAAACACAGGAGGAGCCCAGAATATTCTGGAGAAACAGCAGAGAGGATCGCTAACAGAACGCTGTCACAACATCACCCAGATTTCAGAAAGACAAACTGGATGATGACGAAGGACACAGACTGATGAAGGACACAGACTGATGAAGGACGCAGACTGATGAAGGACGCAGACTCTGGTCTCTGGTATAAATGAGGCTCAAACCTCCAGAGTTTGTAAAGTTTCATTCTGCAGTAAATGAAACTTAATTATAAAACATTTGTCACAAATTGCATCATAACCAAAGTCCGAAGTTTAAATGATAAAAACAGCTGGTCGTTCTTCACAAATTTCTGTCCAGAATACAGAAATATTAAATATAAATCACATTAAAGATGGAAGATGTCTGCTGAGTCTCTAAGATATAAACTTCTATTAAAGGTTCCTGACATGAAGAGACCAAAGCAACGTTAAAATCTAGACCATTAATATCCTCAACGAGCCGGTTCATTAAAATATTAAAAAATAACTCTGCATTTGATTACTGCTTCTTAAAATTAAATAACATTGAACATATTTTCACATTGACGTAATTTGATAGAGTACAGATAAAAACTGCTTTGATTTAACTGATGAAATATTATTTCATCATGAAGTTTCTGTTACAGAGTCCAGAGGACCTCATTAAAAGCTGCGGTGGGCCGGATTTGGCCCTCGGACCTTGAGTTTGACACAAATGTGAGGATTATTTCTTCTTCTTCTTCTCCTCACTCAGGCGTCGCTGCACCTGTGTTTCATCTGGTGATGATTCTGCAGATATTCTGGCTCCTCAACGCTCTGTGTTCCCAGCCAGCTCATTCTGAGGAATAGTTCATATTTTTAGCATATTTTGGGTTTTTCTGCTGCTGAGCATCTTTTTATTTAAACTGAGCAGCTTCAGGTTTCAGGAAGTTGAGTGTTTCAGTCACAGAATCAGGTAGAAGTTTATTATTCAGCCAGAGACTCATTGTCACTTTCAGTTGAATTGTGTCACGTTTTCCTGCAGCCTTTAGATGTTTGGAGGTTTTATGATATAATCTCAGATCTGATGTCTGTAAACCGTCAGACTGAAGGATCTGCTCTCCTCTGGGGGAAATATTGGATCAGGAAGATTCACCGTCGTCTCCATGAAGGATTCTGGAAGCTTCCAGCTTTTCTTCAGCAACATTTCAGAAAAAATCAGAAGAAATATTCAGAGGGAAGAACTTCGGTCTCCTGTCTATAACATGGATGTTTCTGATCTAAAGATCTAACAAATGATATGAAAATTAAAAGCTTTGTTTCACAAACTGTCTTTTATATACGACTTGTTAAAAAGTAGTGGAGCTGCTGGTGGTTGAGATCCAGATCCTGAATAACATCTTCCTCTTGGAAGGAAATATTAAAATCAATTTTCCAGTCAGCCAAAGGTTAGTGTGCAACACTCCTCACACTCTGGGGCTCATTTCTTTTTCATGAACAAAGTCTTTTAGCAGAAAGCTCGATAAATGATGCAGCAGGTAGTTGGAAGTCGCTCTGCAGAGAGAAGCAGAGGGACTTCTCCAAATTTAGCTCTGATCTTCGTTTTGTGGATCTGAAACCTGCAAACCCTCAGCGCTCAGATCAGACCTCTAAAAATCTGTGTTCACAAACATCTTGTGCTTTTTTATGGAGGTAAAAACAGTTACATTTTCTCCTCCCGCGTCACATTTTGCTGCTTCACGCGTTCTCACAGGGATTTCTGGGAAATCTCGAAAGCCTGAGCGGCGACAGATGAAGCGTTTTTCACAACATGACACTTCTCCAGATTCTGCCATCAGAAGGAAACGGCTTCATGAAGGGATCAGATCTTATTGTGGAAGAGACAGGAAGTCCCGCTGAGGTCAGACCTTCTTTGTTAATCTGCTGATCCTCAGGAGAAAACTTCTATAACATGGAAAGCTCAGATTATTCCTGAGCTGAAGTGAGTTTCTTCGCTCTGCTTGGCTCTGTTTGTCCAAACTTGTGCAGGTCAGAATAACCGCAGCAGCTCATCATGTCAGACATTTCACAGCCGAATGAGTTGGAGCGAGAGATGCTGAAAATGGAGCAGGAAGTCCATGTTGAGTAGAATCACATCCTGACAAACGACAGACTGTACAAGAAACAGAGCTGACCTTCTGGAGGGGCTTTAACGTCATGGAGGAGTCGATGTTTCAGCTCCAATTTCTATTATTTACCAGTAATCATCCATTTTCAGCTTTTTAGACAGAGCTACAAAAGAGAGAGAAAAGCTTTTACCTCTTTCCTCGAATGAAGGTTATTTTCTAAATGAAGAACATTTATAACCATTATGAAAGGACACTTCGATTCCAGATCCTCTCAGCTTTTATCGGAGCTCCTTTCGTGAAGCGGAGGGTCAGCATGCGGAGCGTTCTGCTGTTTAACCTGTAAAAACCAGGTAATCCTGAACAGAGTGTCTCTCTGCTCAGGCCTCTGGACTCATCAACCATGAACCCGTGAGCCTGAGGACCGACAGACTGACCCCAACTGTGATGCTGCTCTTCTCATCCTGGGTGAAATTTTTACGCTGAGTTATGCAACAAACTGAAAACTGAGCCGCCCCGTTTTATTTTAGTAAATGTGACAGAGTAAGTCTGAATGTGAGTAATACGCCCCCTCACTGACACACCAGGAAATCCATCCTGGGTGGGATGGAAAAAATAAAAACCCGCTGGAAGAAACGAGGCTGTGAGCTCGTTATGTTCTGAGTCCGACCCGGTGGGTTATTTTAGACCAGCAGCTCCTGACAGAAACATTTTCTTTTTCCATTTCAGCTAAAAAAGAGCCAGTTTCTGTGACCAGAGGCAAATGTGCCGTCTCTGCAGGCAGAACACAGAGGGAGCGTAAAAGTTCTGCTGGAGACAGAATGTTTGTTGAATTCAGATAAACGTTTCGGACTCACTGGTACCGGAAACAACAGGAGAGGTTCTGCTGGTCGTCTTTCCACCCGACATAAGCTTTTGACTTTTTCTTTAACTGCAATCTGAACAGAAAAGAATCACATTTTTGCAAATGCTGTATGTGGAGCTGAATCAGATAAATGACTGATAATATAATAATTAGGAAACAGGCCAATTTATGAAACACATTTTTGATCAAATATTTTGTCACTAGCATGAGGAGGTTTTACAAAACTAAATGGAAACAGGTTTGTCTCATCATGAACAACAGCAGGATGTTTCTACTGGCGGAAAAGACGAAGAAAACGACAGAAAATGGATTTTACTGTCTACTGTGTGAACAAACTTATTCATGTTTGATTTTCTTATTAAGTTCTTTCTTATTTAATGGAAGCAAAGAAATTGTGACGTGTTTTTTTCTGTTTATCAGAATTTCAATAAAGTTTTGCACAGATTTGTGGAGAAAAAGATGAAAAGATGACAACAGCTAAAATATGACAGATTATGAATTATTTATGCGTTGTTCAGATTTGCTCTTTAGGTTGAGACATAATTAAACCGTGGAATGTGCTTTTGCATCAGGACGGCATGTTTTATAAGTAAAAGCTGTTTTTTTCCTCCAGCTCCGTGTTTCTGGTCTTTTTGTGTCAATTTGGGTGAATAAATCCTAACAGCTCCTCACCATCAGCCCAGACAGACAGACAGACAGACAGACAGACAGACAGACAGACAGACAGACAGACAGACAGACAGACAGGCAGACAGACAGACAGACAG